ACCATTGGTAGAAATGTTCCATTTGTATAAAAAATGTAATACTTTCATTTCACCAACTATGTCCTTTATTTTTTGCTGCCAATATTTTAATGACATTTTTATGTCGTTTTCCATAAACTCTGTGTTTATTTTGCACCAAATGAACCACATTTTTCATTAGCTACACTAACAGACCTTCATGAAAATTTTTTAAAAGAAATGGGAAAAATTTATGTGAATTTATTTTGAAAATGTTGGTAAATTGTAAGCTTAGAGTTCAAATGGTCCTCAACTAACAAATCTCTCTATGTGACAATGAGATGTACAAGAATCTTCATGGCACGATTCCAAAACATGTAAAAGATTTGCTGTGTTAGAAAGGAGTGCCATCTGACGTATACAACACATGTCAAATTATTTACATGAAAAATTAATGCTGATAAAGTGAGGGAAACTTTCACCACCAGGCTGAATGAATTTGTCTGCACTTTTCAGTCCCCATCGGACGTAGTCTGAAACGGGGACTTATGGTTTTTGGTATCCATGTGTGTATCCAGCATCATTTCTCAAAGATGCCTGGACAGATTTTCTTCAAAGCTGGTACAAAGACAAGTCATAATGGCAGACATGTGCATTTCGATATATTTTTGATTTGCTTGACCTTTAACTGACTGGCGGCCATTTTTGTCCCAAAAAACACCAAAAATCAACATTTGGACATTTCATCAACTGTTTCTTAGACGTGCCTTGACCGATATCATTTAAACTTGACATTGACATCAGTCATGGTGGGTTACTGATGCACATCATTTTTTTCGTGATTCAATTCAAAATGGCGTACTGGTGACCATTTTGTTTTTACGAGTGTTCTGCCCATTTTACAAAAATGATTGTACAGATTTGGGTTCAATTTGGTACAAAAGCAAGATATTATGGTTTAAATGTTCTGTTCAGTTAGTTTTCGTTTTCATCTAAATTTCACCGAATGGCAGCCATTTTTAGCAAAAACGAATAAAATCACAAAATTCAAACATGTCATCAACCATTTCTTAGACATGCCTTGACCGATTTCATTTAAACCTGACATTGACATCAGTCATAGTGGGTTACTGATGCACTTCATTTTTTTCGTGATTCAATTTAAAATGGCGGACTGGTGGCCATTTTTCTCTTTACGAGTGTTTTGCCCATTGTACAGAGATGATTTTACAGATTGGGTTTAAATTTAGTACAAAGACAAGATATAATGGATATAATGCCTTGACCAATTTAATTCAAACTTAGTTTTTATACCTGTTGCATGTACATTTGTAGTTAACATGCTAAATACTAATATTTAAACATAATCTGACTATGTTTTCATTGTTTGTCAAAGTCACTAAAAACACGACAAGACTATGTCATTGACAATGACTTGTTTCTTATATTTCTGAATATGAACCCTAATTTTGGAGCCAGTAGACAAAATTTTAGTCAATTTTCAGTTTTTACTCAAACAATTTGGCTATTTTTTGTGAATTTGCGATGAACAGATAAAGAGGGAATTGGTGGTGAAAAGGTTAAAACTAGAACTGCATGGCGTAATCATTTCATATTTGGAATTTGCCTTTCCTTATAAGGCGAGAAAAATGTTAAACAAGCATGATAGCGGTACTCATAATTTATTTATTATAATATTTAAGTCACTCTAATAATTATCTGATACATGTAATAATCATATTTATTGTATCTAATCAAAACATTTTAACTGTACAGTTCCACTTTCATCAGATTGTTGCTATCACTATTGTTCTTCAAAAAAAATACAATACAAAATTATTTAAAATAGCAAAGTGAACACATTTAGGAGGTAGAATAATATAAACAAGGTCTCACTGACCTTAAAGCGAGGGAGGTATCACCTGTGCATGTGTCAGATGGCCATAGAATGTCAGTTTACAAACAAGCGTCTACCCATGAGCATTTGTGTTTTTAGTGTGTGTTGTTATCGTCACTTGGGATTCAATTCCTGCCCGTGCGCAGGTGACGACCCTCTCGCTTTAATATGATATGCCTGAAAAAATGATTATTTATGATTATTATTGTGCGTATCAGTTAAAAATGTGCATCTTCATTTCCAGTTGTTATCAGAATTTTGAAAAAAAAAATCCAATTCACAATAAGATTCACAATAAAAGTGCAATTCCAGGAGAATTTTGAAATAAATACAAAAATAATCCTTCTTGGCCTCAATTTTTGAAAACCAAATGATCAAAATCTATTTTACTTATTATCTGTGCCTTTATGTATGGAAATACTTTTAACACTGAATGTTTCACAAACACAGTGACAACACTGAAATTACAATAACACTGTTTTCAAGTTTACGTACTGTAAAGGGGTTAATTATTCACTGGGTTTTAATTTAGCTTATTTCGCTGACTGGAAAAATGCGCTAAATTAAAACACAGTGAATATGTAAAATTTAGCATAGAACACATTATCTAAATGACAAAACCGTGAATTTAAAACCCACTGAATATGCCTGAAATAGTAAATCAGTGAAATTTAAACCCAGTGAAAGTTAGTCATTTTACAGTACCATTCAAATATGTAAAACTCAATATTAAAAATTAGCCATTAGCCCGTAGAATATGATTTATATCCTCAAAACCCATATTTTACATTCAAAAATCAGTGAAAATAAGTTCCATACAAAACACTCAAAAAGTCTTTTCAATGAAAATTAATTGCAGCTAAAATAAAGTATTCTACAGTATTCTTTATAAGCCACCATATTTGCCACAAAATTCTAATGAAAAATTGTGCATGATTTTCAATATTATAAAAGTTTTTGCTAATATTGTTGTTTGATATTTCAAATCAAAGACTAAGACTGTAGAGTATTTGTTAAATGTGGAATAAAAACCCATATATGCATGTGCAGTGATTGATACTGTATGTACCAAAACAACCAGTACACATGTATTAGAAAATTTCAATGTTTTATTGAATGAATACCTAGATGCGTTATACAAGAACAGAGTTTTCGGTTCATGATAAATCGTAGTTCAATGTATTTGTTGAATCGGGGGATACGTCAGATGGCTATAGCGTGTCATTATTTACAAACAAGCGTCTACCCATGAGCCTTTGCGTTATTAGCGCGTGTTGTTATCGTCGCTTGGGACTCAATACCTGCATGTGCGCAGGTGACTACCCTCTCGCTTTAATATACTATCAAACAATAAAAATTAATTGTTCTTCTCCATATTGCACCTTTAATTTTGGAGCAAATCGAGATTCTGGTAATACCTTAAATTGTCGACAGGTCAGATTCAAACTTTCAGAAAAAAGTTTACTTTGATCACTGTTCAAAATGGGGTCATGCATTCGCAATATAGAATATAGCATCAACAACATTCCCAGTCTTTCGCAGAGCACGGATTGCAGCATTTCGCTCACACGACAATTGTTTGCAGATTAGGTCAACATCTCCTGTGAGGAGATCATCCTCATTCTCTGCAACTTCTCCGAACGCTTGGAAAACTGCTCGTTCTCTGACAAACTCTTTTAAATTTTCCTTCTTCATCAGCTTACCTTTGTGCACCAGTTTTATTTTATCCACAGGTATACGAAGAAAATCGCAGACATGGCAAAACATTTTTTCGCTATTCCAACTCTCTGTTATTTTAACCTTGTGTTTCAGTTTCATGTGTTTAATTGTTATTGTATGCGACTGATCAACTTGCTCTTCTATTGATGCTAGATCCAAACTCCCTTCAGTCAGTAGGCCAGAAGAATTATTCACAGTCGGCATATTTCCGTCTTTGCAATCAGTCCAAATGCATTTCAAATCACTGTGTCGAAGATCATTTGGCACTTCGTCAACATTATTTTGTCTTTCACTATCAGTTAACTTTGTTCGTTGTATGATTTTCGGTGATTTTTGTGATGCAGCACAGTTATTGCTTTCTGTCTTATTTGTCTTTACTGCATCTTTTTCGGTATCCGTACTCGTCTTCAATGGTTTGCAGCTACTTCTATGTGAAGGCCAGTCTTGAATTTGACATTCCCGTGAACTGGTATGGAATGAAATGAACAATAAATAAATAAAATTGTATACACCACATCTTTGATAAAGCATGCATACGTAAACCAGAGGTACATTACTTGGGGGTTTGCAACTCGCATAGTACTGTATGGTAACATCATGTCAGATCCCATTCAG